AGGGGAATTGTATGCAGAATCTCAATAATAAGAGAGTGGTTTTTGTAAAAAAATACTACACTAATAATTTTTATTTTTATTTCGTTTTGGAATCAAAGTGTTAGTGGACAACATAAATTTATTTCAATATCATTGAGTCAATTTTAAGACGACACAATTTATAAAGCTAAAACACGAGACACGATCCAATCAATCCTATCATTATACAATTCCATGAAATTCCTATATAAACTAGCAGCTTAACAATTTGGAAGGGTCATCTTATGTATAAGTTCAGGAGGATAGATCAGCCTACTTACTACTTAGGTACATTGATGGATCCCCTCTCCAAGAATCGGGGAAAAACCGCGTTATTAGTTATGAATATGCTGAAACATTAAGGGTTCATCTTGCAAAAAAAAATTCAAAAAATTAAGCGCCACTTGCCATGTAAATGTACAATTACCTGAGCATACTTTCAGATGTATAGCCAAATATCAGTTTCTTGTAATCTAATTCTCATGTACAGAGCCTTAAGCATATTGCCACATTGGGTCACCAATCAAGCTTTTTTGGGGTAGCCTAAGAAACAAGAACTCTTTCATCTGTGAATGTTGAAACAAAACAAGTAGTTCTGTCTAATGTCTCAACCTGAAAAATCTCCTTGTAGACTCAAAGCCAGGACTGGTTTTGACCCCAAAAAATCAAACGTCAAAAAAATCTGAGAAATCACATAAAAAACAAAGAATTCACAAGAAAAATCAGCTGGGAGGTAAGCGATGGAGGTTGTGATGGAACAGAGAGTTTCAGATGACGGTGATAATGTTGCTCATTCCGAAAAGGAAGTTGCAACTTGAATTGCAAATGTTCAATGTTAACACAAATGGGATAACAAGTCTTCTACTTGATAAATCAAACCATGAGGCACTCGTCAATGAAAGGATTAGCAAGGGCCACATGTACGTGGTATTAATGTCACCCCCCCCCCCTCCCCAACCAAAAAAAAAAACGCGGCAAAGAGATTGCGTCTATGACTTAAACCTTGATGCACCAATCATAAAGAAGCAATCTTAGTTAAATAAATAATGCCCAAATTATTACATTATCTATTAAGGTAATTACTCGCCCGCCGACACGGGGGGGGGGGGTAGACTGTTCATTTCAGTAGAATCTGAAATTGATTTGGAAATAAGCACCTTCCTCATCCCAGCACAAGATCAACTATATATGTAACAACGGCTTTGACGAGTATAATCAAATAAATAGAATCTAAATTTATTGAACCATGACACGACGGATGTGACGGACCCGACATATTTCTCTATACATAAATGTGGAATAATCTAATCATCTCTCTCTCTCTCTCTCACCATAATTATACTTAAATGACAGAGGCACAGATAAGAAAATTAAAGATAATGAAGTTAATGTGAGGGTGAGCCATAGATAAGAATCACTAAACGGTCTATGACAAGGAGTCAACCTGAGAACCCATCATTCGAATCTATCACTGTCAATACACTTTAATATACATTTTAGTTATTACCAAAACATAACATTAACAAAAGGTAAATTCTTTAATGCAGAAAAAATTCAAAGATAAGCCTCTAATACTCTGCAACGGAACTTTGACTAAAATACTACACCTTTCCATGTAAAAGGGAAGTAAAACAAGAGGTAAACACTAAATATCACCAAATCAATTGTCATTTTTGAAAGTTCTGATTACACTTAGAATTGAACCTACCAAGATAGGGGCCAAAACTTATCATAGATATAACAGATCAGCAAAATAATGTGAATCCAATATTCTGTTGTCCAAATAAATGCCACCCATTCAAATTAATCGTAGTGTGACAATTAATACGTACGACTAATATACATATCTGGCAACACAAATTCAAATTCTTTTAACATACATAATTGAAGGTCTCCAGCACTATATATATTGGCCTATTAGGGGACATAAAATCCCACCATCTACATGCTCTAGTCATATTTTCTTCCTCTGAGTCATCCCCAGCCATGACTAGGAAGAAAGTGACCCTTGCATATATTCCAAATGATTCTGAAAGGAAAGCCTCCTTCAAGAAAAGGAAGAAAGGTATGATGAAGAAGGTGAACGAGCTTAGCACCCTATGTGGAGTTGATGCATGTGCAATCGTCCTAAGTCCGTACAGCCATGATCCCGAGGTTTGGCCTTCACCTCTGGGGGTTCAACGTGTGATTGCAAAGTTCAAAAACTTACCTGACTGGGATCAAGGCAGGAAAATGGCAAACCAGGAAAGTTTCACCAAAGAAAGGATCAGGAAAACAGAGGAAAAACTGAGGAAACAACACAAGGAGAATCAGCACAAGGAAATGACGAATGTAATGTTCCAGTGCCTGGCTGGGGAATGGTCTCGTAGTTTCAGCTTTTACGGTTTGAATGAAATGGGATGGTTTGTCGACCAGAACATAAGGGAAATTGCAAGGAGGATCAATTCACTTAAGGAGGAAATTCTTCCTCATCAAGGCATGACAATGAGGCATGGAATGAGCAGTGCAGAGATTGTTGCAGACACACAGATTGCTTCAGAGATGCCCATGAATGCAATGCAAAATTACCAATGGAACATGCAACCTACTGTCAGTCCATATGGCTTAGGCTGGGACCCGACCATTCCATCATATGGTTACAACAGTAACAGTATCGGGCCTAACTTTACGTACCCCTAAGAAATCTTGCTTTCTAGGTGTTATGTGTTTCTGTTTACTTGACACAGTTGATGAAGCTCTTCCCCCAATCCACAGCCCTACCCCTCTTTTGTTCTTATATGTGTGTTTTGCTTGTTTGATCCACATTGTTTCTGTTAATGAAAGTCCTTTTTTTTATGTATTAAGATATTTTCAGATGAATGTTGTTTATGTTATTTTTTAAAAGCATGGAAATAATGGTCATTTGGCGCGCGCGCGAAAACACATACAAAGGTATTCTCCTCGGGGAACTAACTTTGTTGAAAGGATTTTAAAAAATTTCTAACAGCCTAAATAAATTACTTTCCATATCTGGAATCAAATTTGCATAATACATATTCAATCCAAAGATTATGGTTGTTACACATTTGCAATAATGGTTATGAAGTAAGTGGCTTTGTGGTGAGATATCGTTTGCGAGACCCACAATAAATACGGTATTTCGTTTTTGATAAACTACATATTATTAGGTCATAATTAAAAATAAACAGACATCATCCCACAAAATTTTTGGCATTGATTATAGTATTTTTATCACTTCTAAATGATTGGAAAGCCATTTTACACAATATGTAATCTTATTTTCCTAGATTGTCATGGATATGTCTCAGGACTCAAATTCCTCCAATTCTACTTCATTTAATTTCTTTCAAGATGGTCATTCCCAACATATACTATCATATCTATTACATTTCATAGATGATTTATAAATTGCATTTTACAAATTACTCTTCTCTAGACAGTTACTTTGAAATACTTCATATACACAAAGATAGCCATGTGTAATTAATAACCCAAATTAAACCCTTTTCACACTTCAATTTCCATGACTACTCAGGTTATAATCCAAAATAATTACACTAAAATCAGGCAATTTCTATATTGCTTCAGTCAATCCTATTTCGCCTAGTGATTCAGTAGTCAAAACACATTGTGTAAAACATCCCATAACAAAGTAATTAGGGCAACCATATGAAGTTAGAGTTGAGTAGAACGCAAAATAGTAATTACCTGAAAGAGAAACCGATAGAGACGAAACCTCGGAGGAAAATTGAAAAATGTTTGAGAAATTCTCTGGTTTCTACAATTGTGGAACCTGTATATGAACACAAACAATGATAAGAAAAGGCAAGAAACTAAGATTGAATCAAAGAAATTGAGAAAGGAAATAAATCCACTATATACCTCAATTTAGTGTGTATGAACTGCGAACCAACACTATCGATATGCCAAGAGGACTCTGCAAGAAGCAGAGAGAGAGAGTGAAGCGGGAAAATACAGTGAGCGCTAAGTCTAACAATGAATTATTCAGTTTACTGATAAAAAAAATAAAAAGAGTTATTCAGGAACTAGTCTTTTTTTTTTTTTTTTGTAATCTTGGATGTTTGAGCCACTTTATTTACAATTAATTCTCTTTTTAGCCTGGTTAAAAATAGACAATATTGTTTACTTTATCTCTTTTATACTCATGTTTGAATACATATTTTGAATTCGGTATTATCATATAAAAATAATATCGATCTAAATGAATAATATATTTAATTCTACGTACAATATCTTAAACAAACCCACCTTTTTAGTGGGTTTAAATAGTGCAATTTTGATGTATTTGGGCAAAAGATATTTTTACATTTTAAGTATCTTTAGGATATAAATATCACTCTTTATTTTGAGGGTTTTTTAGTAATTAAATATTTATACATTCATTCAATACTCCATCTAAATAAAGTGTTAGATGATATAAACGTGAAATTCACTACTTCTCAATACTTAAACCAAACATAGAATGAGGAGGAATTATCACTATAATTAGTCTAAGGGCTGGATAGATAGATAAGGGATGAACAATATTATCTAATCCGATTTATCCTAATGCTTAAACCAAACACACCATTATATCTAGGCCTATCAACAGATCAGATATGGATTGGATTGACCTATATTTGATCCAATTATTCGTTGAATTTGAAAAATTCAATTCATGTCTGAATACGTTAATTTTCGAATACTCGATCTGAAAATTTGATCCGATCTGATTACCACAAAAACACATGTACATCAAAAAATTAACAATAAGAATTTGGATAATGAACAAAAAAAAGGGGGGGGGGGGGGGGGGTGGAAATCAAACAAGAGACAAAATCAAAATCAAAATGAAAAAAATGGGTCATACATTATGATATTCGCTTAAAATTTATTTATTTATTTAGTATAAGTATAATATACATGTGATATTTATTTACATAATATATTATAAATTCATAACGGATTGGATTATTATAAATTCATATCTGAATTCGTTTAAAACAACTCTAATCAGATTCAAATCGGATCGAATTAATGGATTGAAAATGTGATCCATTTTCACTTAAGCGGATTTGATTCGAATCGAATTCGAGTTAAAATCCGATCTAATGACAGACTTATCTATGTTTAAACTTGAAAATTCACGAAGAGAAATTTCTCATTACTTGGTTTTAAGTGATTTATTATGTTTCGAACTAAAGACGTCTAAAACTAAAAATGTTTAACTTATAAAATTATAATTATGGTTAAAATTGATCTAAATTATATATATTTTAACTTAATAATATAAAATTCATCTTAAATTTTTTTTAAAAAATATTATTTTTTCTATTCGACCTTCAATGTTTGTATCAAAAGATTGGTACTCAATTCTTCGAGCGTTGGAGTTTAATCAATGGGCCTGACCATGCAGGACCATGAACTCTGATAGGGCAAAAATCTGTTGGGCCTACTCGATCTCTGCTAATAGAGATTAAATTGTGTTCTGAAGCCCAAGTATCGACCTTGGCCCAATCTTATACGGTTGACATGAAGGCCCTCTTCCTTCTAAGTTTTTAATTTTTTTATTTTTGGAAGGTAAAAATATTCTATTAATTGAAAAAAAAAAACTATTATATACAAGCATTGGGTGACACTCTTACAAAATACAATAGGTGTTACTTGTTGTATAACTTGTAGAATCAGAACAAAAACAAAAACACATTAACTATTAAAGGGTTGTTGAATTCAGAAGAAAGTGAAGGCCTTGAACTAAAACTTCTGGCTGAATCATTTTTTTTTTATATAAATAAATAAATAAATATATTTATTTATTTATTTATTTATTTATTTTTGAGAGAGGGGGAAATAGAACTTGAACCCTTGACCTCAAGAAGACAAAATTTTCACAAGATAAGGAGTACTATTGGACCAAAGGCCCATTAATCTGGCTGAATCATTCGGTCATATATTTATTCCACACTTACCCTTTTTCATAAAAATGTCAATTAAACTTTTGTTCATAATTTTTTAATCAAAATTAATTTATTATAAAAGATTTCATAACGATGACTGGTTTAGAGACGGAGCTACCCTTGTGTTTTATATAGCCTCTGGTACTATATAGTGGTTGTTGGAGGATTTTTATAAATTAAAGAGACTTCCCTTACTTGGCCCTCAACCAAAGAGGGTATAGAACACTTTTTTATTCATATCTAATTAGAAAAGCAACATGCTACCCTTTTTCCATTCATTGCATAAAAAAAATGTCCTTGGTGAATGAAAAGGCAATAAAAAAATATCATTTTCCAATTTCTTACCATTCTTCTTTCACTACCGAAAGCCCCAACCTTTTATAAAAATAAAACTCGTTGCCCATAACTCAAACACATTCTTCAATCTTTCGTAAAAGAAACATTCATTGGATAGACCAAAACATATTCGAAAAATGTCCTTGATCTGTTCTCCAAAATCTTCTGTTTCACCCTGGATTAATCGGTAAGTATTATTAATTTTTATTGTTGAAAAAAAATTCAAATTTTGACTATTTTTTTAATATAAACAAGTGTGTTGGTTTATTCAGTATATTTAGTAATAATATAAAGTTGTCAACTATGCATAAAGTCGCCCCCCAAGATAAAATTCTAACTCTTTCTCTGGATTGGTCATCGGGTGTCTATGATTCCATATGATATTTGACAAATTATCTAAATCAAACTTTTTTAGTTATACTTGTATACTAATGTTTATTTATTGACAACCTGTTATTTTGTTAAGCATTATAACTGCAAAATAAACTACTTTTCAAATGATTTTTCTAATTTTTTCACTTAGTTTTTTCAATCACCAATTCTTGTTTGGGATTTTTATTGATAAAACCTAACGGGACAAAAGAGAAATAATCATAAAATTAGTGCCTTTTTTTACTTCATATTCAAAAATAGAACTTAGTTTTTTTTAACGAAAAAATAAACTTACCGATTATTTTCCCAAACTTTGGTCTAATAAACCAAACTAATCTTATGTAGGTACCATACATGCATGTAATTGGGTCCATTGCGTGAGAGCCTTCAAAATAGATGAACCAAACCATTCAACATAGTCTCTATATAGGCAAGGTTTATCTTCCAAAGGGTATCAATATTCAAGTTTCTCCCCCAGCAAGTTTCCTTAGTTTAGTGAACCACCCTTAGCAAACTCCACCAACCGTTTGTGATCTTGAACAATATTTTGGAGAACAGAAACAGAAGATTTTTTCTACTCTTAAGATTTCGAAAATTCAAATTCAGATTCATAGCGAATTTCATATGTTCGTTTCTAATTTTTGATTGATCTGATCTTTGAAACTCTCTCCAGAGACCTCTGTTTATGGTTTTGCTGTGCTGTGTGGTGGTCACAATGGCTGAAAAGAAAGAAATAGTTGAGGAAAAGAAGGAAAAAATTGAAGTGATTAGTGCTGTTTACAAAGCTAATCTACATTGTCCACAATGTGCTCATGATATCCGAAAGCCTCTCCTTAGAACCCCAGGTGCTGTTTTATTTATGTGCTCTCTCTCTCTCTCTCTCTCTCTGAGTGTGTATTACAATATAGTTTAATTTCCGATAAAAACCATGAAACAATATCAAATGGTGGACGCAGAGCACAACAGAAACAGAAATCGGAGGCGTGGAATTACCTTTCAAAAATTTGCATATAT